CATCAGGAAAAACCCAAAACGAAAATGGCAGTATGATTGGTTACCACAAGAATAAGCAAGTTGCTCAAGGCACACAATCAAGTTCCTTCGGGACAAACCCCCCTCTAAGACTGAAACGCAAAGGGAACACATGAGCAGGCATGTAAGCTTGCTGGCGATCACATTGGTCTACTAGTGAAGGGAAGAGGGGGAAAGGCAGCAATGAAGAAATGGGCTGAGTTCAACCGCGTTTCACAGACTCCTGTTGACCTGGAGATAACAGAGAAGAGAAAGGGCTGGTAGGTCCAAAGTGTGAGACCTGGGGACACCTGAGCCCATGGACAAGGACATAGCCACAGAGAGCTAGAGCTGAGAGTGAAGCAGCCAGTTTATATGAAGGAAAGGGAGATGCACAAGAACACCCAAACTTGCAGATAGTATCCATGTGACCTAACCTTGATGACTTGATAATCAGAACTTGACTGTTGTTATGTGCCATGGAGTCGGTTCTGACTCATAGCAACCCTGTACAAGGTTTCCGAGGCTGCAAATCTTTATGGAGGCAGAAAGTCTCATCTTTCTCCTAAGGAACACCTGGTAGTTTCGAACTGCTGACCCTGTGGCTCGCAGCCTGATTTGTAACCACTAGCTACCAGAAATTGACTAAAGGAATATTAAAAAAAAAAACAATTTTGATAAGGAAATGAGGATAAATTGCTACAATTTGATGAACTTGGCCTATACTCATGGAGGCATTAACTAAAAATACCACCAGATAGGGAAGGCGTCCTCACATCAAGTATCAATGCTATCCCCTCTGTACATAGGGTAGATAGGGACAGGCAACTTAGACACTGGCTACCTAAAATGAGGGGGCAATAAAGGTACAAAGTGACTGGCTTACATGGTTTCAAGAGGGAATTTAGTTTAAGAGTGTGTGGGGGAAGATGGAGTCCCCACTGAACAGTTTTCATCTTGTCTAGATGGGTCTGGTTAAAAGAGATGAGGATAAGATTCTTAAGATTCAATAGTGAGTAATTGTTATCATGACTAATTGCAACTGTCACAACTCTAAAAGTAGAAGTGTTGTAACAAAAACGGGGGAGTAATCTTACAGTCCAGAAACAGAGGACCCTAGGACCATCAAGGGAGAAGAGCACAAGCAGAATACAGGACCTCATCCAGAGAAGCCGTGACACCAGAGGTGGAGGCAGAGATGGGGACATGGAGAGAGGGAGCAGTTGAGGACTCTAGATTCATGGAAAGTGAGGGACTGAGAGCTGGTAGCCAAGAAGACTTGCAGAATGTGCCCTTTGGTGGTGTAAATTATTATATATGCATGAGTGTTTTTAAAAAAAAAAATCATTAAACTGAATAGATAGAAATACTGTAAAAAAAACCACAACCATAACCCAGAAAATCATAAAATTTTGTGCCTTCAAACACTACAGTTTTCAGTATGGATTCAGTGTAAAGAAAGCATAAATTCTGACAGCTGAATTAATGAAGAACATCAAGATAAGTGAAGAAAAGATCGAAGTTGTCCAAGATTTCATTTTGCTTGGATCCACAATCAACACTCATGATAGCAATAATCAAGTGATCAAACAAAATAATTCCATCAGGCAAATCACATGCGAAAGACTGCTTTCCAGTGTTAAAGGGAAAAGAGGTCAGTTTGAACACTAAAAGGTGTGCCTGACCTAAACTATGGTATGTTTGATAGTCTCATATGCATATGAGAGTTGAGCAATGAATAAGGAAGAATGTAGAAGAATTGATGCATTTGAGTTATGGTGGTGGAGAAGAATGCTGAAAGTACTATGGATTGCAAGAAAAACAAATCTATCTTGAAAGAAGGAGAACCAGAATGCTTCTTAAGAGACAAGGACAGAGAGACTTCATCTCTTATACTTTGGACATGTTGTTAGGAAGGACCAGTCCCTGGAGAAGGATATCATGATTAAAACAGTGAAAGGTCAGAGAAAAAGAGGAAGACCCAATGAGCCATTGGCAGCAACAATGGCTCAAACTCATGGCAACTGAGAGCATGGTGTGTGTAGAACATGTCAGTTTCTCTGTTGTACATAAGAGTTCCTATAAGATGGAACTGACTGACAATAGATTAGAAACACCTACCATATAAAATCTGGAACTATTTTTCCTCTTCACTCAATGTCTTCCATAGCTTAATTTTTACTATACCGATAGACATATGACATGTAATTTATAGTTATTTTAATCAAATATTACCTGTCACATTTAGATCAGTACAGTATAAACTGAAAAACTAGTAAGATAATCAAATATAGATTGTCACATTATTATCTACCAAAAAATATCTAGCAAAACCCAATATAGTCAATATGTTGCCAATAGATAAAGCCCTGATTTATATTGAATAGGGACACTATCAACACCACTAAATTGAATCTGCAACAATGGTACTGTTTCAGTATTAGGGTATGTATTTTGGGCACCATTTAAGGAAGAGACTACTTAAGGTATTTTTTAAAAAATAATTTCTCTATTCTAACTGGCACAATGCAAAAACTGAAAAAAAAAAAAAAAAAGTAATGCCATATAAGTTTTTTAAAATAAAAAAGAAATAGAAGCAAACGGTGGTTCTAAATAAAGAATGACAAACGAACTTTCTAGATTAAAAAGTGGTTAAGTCTTATGCCAAAAAAAAAAAAAAATTCAAAATTAACATCAAAAGAAAGGGATGCCAGTAAAAGGTATTCTATCTAAGCCAAATGGCATTTTCCATAAATAAGAAGTTTTAAATTCTCAAACCTAGTGAGTCATATAGAACGGAAATAGCTGAGCCTTCAGGTCACACGGAAGGTCTGGAAACTTACTTCAGTTTTTCCTCTTCACTCAGTGTCTCCCACAGTTTTTCAATTTGCACTGTTGCATCCTTCAAACTGGCCTTGGAATTTTCTGTGAGAAACTGAGAACGATGATCTTGAATAAAAAGGGCACTTGCTGACATGGGTTTCTTGATTACTCGATTGCTAATTATATCATAAGCTGTTAGCTGTCCAGATTTGTTATCGATCACGTTTGACTTTTTGTCACAGGGACCTTCACAGAGAGTCTTTGGTTCGGGGCTTGGAGTACTACTACGTGATAAGCTTTCTTGTGGCACTAAAATTTTCACAGGTTCAATGTTCTTTCCCACTGCATTTTTAAGTACATTTCCCTTGCTCCAGTCATCCGCACAAATTTCCAACGATGACTCAGGAAATGCTCCTGTCTCATTGTTCCCAGTCTCATTTACATGGCCTTTATTGACATTTTCCAATTGCATGCACTTAATAGTACCTGAAAAAGAAGTTTCATGATATTCACTATTGGCATCTTCATGTGATAAACTATCCAGTGGTATTTCTGGAGATACATTTCTAGTGTCCTTATCAATGTTAGAATTTTCACAGCTAAAATTACCATCATGAGAATCACCGATACATAACTGGTGATTTAAACAATTATTAGAGTTTTTCCCAGAGTCATCATTCTGTACATCATTTTGGAGGGAAATGGATGAAGTATCAACATTTAGGTAATTATTTCCAGATGATTCTGTTTTATTAAGAAGTGCATCTGTTTGTGCTGTTCTATTAATAACTCCACCAGCTGATGAAACATCTGTTTTATTATTTTCACAAGTATCTGTACGAGGTAGTGGTCCATAAGAAGCGGTCATCAGATTTTCAAGAGCAATCAAAACAGATTCCTAAAAATATAAATTAAAAAAAATTAGGTGTAATTATAAAAATTATACATAGACAACAAGATTTAAAACAATAATGAAAAATAAAAACATTTAAACAAGTCTTTTTTCATGTGAAAATAGTTGTTACTCTTAGGTATCATTGAGTCGGTTCTCACCTAACAGAAAGAAACACTGCCTAGTCATGTGGCATCTTCACAACCGTTATTATGTCTGAACCCAGTCTGCTGCCACTGTGTCAATCTATCTTTTTTTTTTTTTTTTGGGGGGGGGGTCTTCTATTATGCTGACCTTCTAAAAAGTATGTCTTTCCCTAGAGACTGATCCCTCTGGAAAATATGTCCAAAGAATGAGAACATCCTTGCTTCTAAGGAGTACTTGGACTGTACTTCTTCCAAGATGAATGTTTGTTCTTCTGGCAGTCCATGGTACTTTCAATACTTTTCACCAGCACAGTAATCCAAATGCATCAATTCTTCTACGGTCTTCCTGGTTCATTGTTCAACTTTCACATGCACAGGAGGAGACTGAAAATACCATGGCTTGGATTAGGCACACTTTAGTCCTCAAAACTATCTATCTTTGCTCTTTAACACTTTAAAGAAGTTTTTGTTGTTGTTGTTCATACCATTACATATATTTTAATATCATGGTAATTTCCTTTTTAGTTTTCACAATGAGATGTGAAAACTGATTAAAAGTGTTCACTTGTTTTTTGTTTTTTTAAGTTTTTATTGTGAATTGAGTGATAGTTTACATAAGAAAATATCAGTTTTACACATATCCTATAGTATTTCATTTCACTGCATCATTGCAATGATTACAATCTCCTTTGTGCATCATCATTTAACAACAGTATTTGATTCCTTTCCCTCTTTTTTATTTTTGTGGATGTAGACAAAAACACTCAGGAATATATAATCATTTAAAGAACCCAAAGGTACATTCTGTAAGCCTGCCTCTAGGTCACCAGTACATAGCCTTTCTCTTTCCATGAGTCTAAACTCCTCAGCTGCTCTATTTCTCCTTGTCATCCTCTCTGGCTCCATCTCTGGTGTCACTGCCTCTCTGGATAGAGGCCCATAATCCACTCATCTTCTTCTCCCTTACTGGTTCTAGGGTCTGTTTCTGTATTGTAAGATTAACTACTACCCCTTTATATTACCAAACTTCTACCTTTACAGCTGTGGCAATTGCAATTACTTCTGACAATAATTACTCACTATTGAATCATAAGCATCTTATCCCCTTAATCTCACAGTCCAGAAACAGAGAACTTTAGGACCATCAAGGGAGAAGAACACGAGCAGAATGCAGATCCCTATCCAGAGAAACAGCAACACCATAGATGGAGGCAGAGATGAGGACATGGAGAGAGGGAGCAGCGGAGGACTAGACTCATGGAAAGAGAGGGACTAAGCTGGTGGCCAGGAGGCAGGCTTACAGAATGTGTCCTCTGGTGGTTTAAATTATTATATGCCTGAGTATTTAAAAAAAAAAAAGCTAAAATGAATAGTGAGAAATACTGTTGACTGATGGTACATGGAGGGGATTGTAATCATTTTAATGAAACAAAGTATATGATTTATTGAATGTAAAACTGATGATCTGCCCTGTAGACTTTCACTCAATTCACAATAAAAACTTAAAAAAAAAAAAAAAAGAAAAAAGAATCTTATCCCCATCTCCTTTCACAAGATGAAAACTATTTAGTGGGGATTCTACCATCCCCCACACACTCTGAAACTGAACTCCCTCTTGATAAGTTGTAAGCCAGTCACTTTGTGCCGTTATATCAGCCCCATTTTAGGCAGCCAATGTCTAAGTTGCCCATCCCTATCAATCCTGTATACAGAGGGGATAGGATAGGATTGATCCTTAATGTGAAGACTCTTTCCTCACAGTTGGTATTTTGAGCAACTATACTCATAAGTATATGTCAAGTTCATCAAATTGTAGAAATTTATACTTGTTCCCTTTATCAATTTTTTTTTTTTTTTTTTAATCTTCCTCTGGTCGAGTTCTGATCATCTAGTCATTGAAGCTAGGTCAAATGAGTACTGGCTGCAAGTTTGGGCATTCTTGTGCATCTTCCCTCACTTCATATCAGCTGGACACTTCACTCTCAGCTTTAGATCTCCACGGCTATGTCCTTGTCCATGGGCTCAGGAGTCCCCAGGAGTCACCACACTCTGGACCAACTAGCCCTTCCTCTTTTCTCTCTCATCTCCAGGTTGACAGGAATCTATGGAACATGGTCAAACTCATCCTACATCTTCATTGATGCCTTTCCCCCATTTCCAATTACCAGGAGACCAACTTGGTCACCAGCAAGCTTAAATACCTGCTTGTGTGTTCCCTTTGAGTTTCAGTCTTGGAGGAGGGTTTGTCCTGAAAGGACGTCATTGTTTGCCTTGATGGTTCCCTGGCGAACACCTTGCTTGTTCTTGTAGCAGCTACTCAGACTGTGTTTTTATTTTTATTTTTTCTGCTGGTCTTTCTTTCAAGAAGTACCTTCTGTTCCAGGCAGGTCTGCTTGTCTTTTCAATTGGGAATGTCCCACGTCAGAAGGTTCTGGACAGGACTCAAGATTCCTTTCTGCATCATTCAATAATCTGCCCATAGAATCTTTCAATACCGCAAGTTGAGATTTGATTTTTTAATTCAGTTCCCTTCAGCTTGAGAAATGCTAAGCGTGTTCTTCCCTCTTGATTTTCTAACTCCAGGTCTTTGCACATTGTGGTATAATATTTGACTTTGTCTTCTCAAAATTGACGTTTTGAAATTTTTTGTTCATCTCTTGTGTCTCCTCACTTCTTCCATTTGCTTTACCATCTCTATGATGGATAGCAAGTTTTAGAGACTCTTCTGACATCATTTTGGTCTTTTTCTTATTTCTTGTCCTCTCAATGACCTTTCATCTATCAGTCATACTGTGGTGGCTTGTGTGTTGCTGTGATTCTAGAAGCTATGCCACTGGTATTTCAAATACCAGCACGGTCACCCACAGTGGACAGGTTTTAGCTGAGCTTCCAGATGAAGACAGACTAGGAAGAAGGATAGACAGACTACTTCTGAAAATTTAGTCACAGAAAACCATACGAATAGCAGCGGAACACTACCAGTACCAGATTATTGACTACTGAAACATGATGAAAAAGCCCCTCAGGGTGGAAGGTGATATAAGCCCCTCAAGGTGGAAGGCACTCAAAATGCGACTGATGAAGAGCTGCCTCCTCAAAGTAGAGTTGACCATGATGACGCAAATGGAGTAAAGTCCTCAGGACCTTCATTTGCTGATCAAGCACAATTCAAAATGAAGAGAAACAGCTGTAAACATCCTTTAATAATCAGAAAATGGATTATAAGAAGTATGAATCTAGGTAAATTGTGAATTTTGTCAAAAATGAAAAGGAATGCATAAACATCGATATCGTAGGCATTAGTGAGTTGAAATGGACTGTTATTAGCTATTTTGAATCTGCCAATCACATGGTTTACTATGGTGAGAATGACAAAATGAAGAGTAATGGCGTCACATTCATCATTAATTAAAACAAGTCTCATGGACTTGTTTTTAATTTTCTTCAGCTGCAGCCTGAATTTGCATAGGAGCAATTGATGGTCTATCCACAGTCTGTGCCTGGCCTTGTTTTGGCTGATGATATGGAGCTTTTCCATAGATGTAGTTAATTTGATTTCTGTGTATCCCATCTGTTAAGTTCTATGTGTATAGTCAGTTTTTATGTTGTTTAAAAAGAGTATTTGCAATGAACAAGTCACTGGTCTTGCAAAATTCTGTCATGTGATCTCCAGCATCGTTTTTATCACCAAGGTCATATTTTCCAACCACTGATCCTTCCTGTTTGTTTCCAACCTTTGCATTCCAATCGCCAGTAATTATCAGTACATCTCGATTGCATGTTTGATCAATTTCAGACTGAACAAGTTGGCTGTTGTTAAGTGCCATTGAGTCGACCTGAAGTTGGTAAAATTCTTCAAATTCATCATCACTGTCTTTAGTGGCAGATGAATAATTTTAGTAACAGTGGTATTAACTTGTCTGTCTTGTAGGCATATAAATATTCTATCACAGACAGCACTGTCTTTCAAGATAGATCTTCATATGATCTTTTTGATGAAGACTGCAACACCCTCCTTTTTAGTTTGTCATTCCCAGAACAGTAAACCATATGATTGTCTGATTCAAAATGACCAATACCAGCCCATTTCAGCTCACTACTACCTAAGATAGCAATCTTTATACATTTCATTTTTGACAACTTCCAATTTTCCATCACTTGTCTGTCATGAAAATGGTTAGATTTGCATAAGTATATAAATAGCATGTGGCTTAGCAGGGTAATGTGCTAGACCTCAAGGTCAGTTTGAACCTCAAGGTTGGTGGTTTAAGCCCACCAGCTGCTCCTCAGAAGCCCTATTCAGGGTCGCTATGGGTCGGAACCAACAACAACAATATAAAAATTGTCTGAAAAAAGTTACCTTGTTCTGTAGTAATACTTGACTTTTATCTGGTGTTAAATTTACATCCACATCAGTTGTTGGCACATCAATTTTTAGAAAGAATATGGGATACAAACGAGTGGATTCCTTTAAGCACTTCAGACTGTAATAATGTCGGATCAACTGAAAATATAATGAATAAGAGGAAAATATCATGTAATTAAAAATAGTACTGTTGAGCACAAAATGTGCAAATTCAATTGAGAAATTAAGCAGAGGTAAGTGTATTAGGAAAAGCAGTATCCACGTAGCAGTACTCTTTCAGAGACCTCAAACCTCAAGAAAGCATGAATATTAATAAGTACAGCTATCCAATGCAAGTGGCTTCATGGTTTAAAGATAATAGTGATGTGGAAGCTTTGAAGAACTACAGTTGGAATTATACTCTGATAACTAACTTAAGTCACTTAACATCTTAATTTCCTTACTAAATGGAGTAATAATGCATAGTATACTAGTTATGAAGAGTAAATGAGAAATCTTATGTAAAGTTCTAAGCACAATCCTTAATAAATGTTCATTTAAAAATTTTTTTCTTTTCCTTAATTTAGAGCAGATTTTGGGATGTAGCTTTTTGACAAATGACAGAGTTAATTTTTACTTCTGATTTTTTTTTTCTATTAGATAATTACCTTTAATATGTCTTTTTGATGTACTGGCCGGTTGTTGATAAAGATGAAACTCCTTTCTGGAGTTGAAAGGCTCGTGAGAGAGTGGTCTGCATCATGCTTTGGAAGAAAACCGCTTAGATATATCTATAAATTACAACACAACAGCATTAATTTAATATGGTTCCACAGATCTGGCTATATACAATATGTTGTTGTTATATGCCGTGGAGCCGGTGCCGACTCATAGCGACCCTGTACAGGGTTTCCAAGGCTGTAAATCCTTACGGAAGCATAAAGCCTCATCATTCTCCCACGGAACAGCTGGTAGTTTTGAACAGCTGACCTTGCGGTTCACAGCCGATTCGTAACCACTACGCTACCAGAGCTCCTTTAATATGTTGAAAGGTATAAAAACAAAGGGATTTTCATCCTAAGGTGTAATGAGCCACATGCTCAAGCATTAAACCTAAAGAAAGTAATAAAATCTGTTAAAATGATGTCCTATTTTTGGAACTCCACTTTATGGGGAAAAAAAAAATCAACAGTCATAAAATCTTCACCAATCGTCTGCCAATATTTAACTATCATAGGACACAGGGCATGGACACCAATCCCTATTCAATTCATCTTCTATCTTCTTAAAATTTCTGTTCGCCTTTTTATCTTTAACTACCTTTTTTCAACAATGATCCTTGGAAGTGTAATGGGGTGTGAGCTGGGCTGCTCCCACAAGGTCAGTAATTCGATTTACAGTCTCAGCAACCCTATACAATGTTGCTGAGTTGGAACTGACTCAATGGCACACAACAATCACAATTTTTCCTATGAAGGAGTGACTGCTTCTAATTTTATTCTGAATATTCTATAATCTGAGGGACAGGGTTTTCATTTCTCAAAGTTAAAACACAAAAACAAAACTCTTTAAATGAACTTCCACAGGGCTAAACACTGATTGTTGTTGATGTTAAGCACTGTCTGAATTGGCTAAGACTCTTAGCAATCCTATGCACAACAGAATGAAACCGCTACAAATTGTTTTCATTTTTGTTTAAGAATTTTCCACAAAAATTCTGCTGATTATTGACATTCTTTCTGTAATCTACAGATGTATGTACGAAGAGGGAGAAAAAGAAGGGAGGTTTTAGAAGAGAATCCCAGAGAGATACAAAGAGGCTAGAAGACAGGGAAAATGCTCCTTTAGCTCAATAGCCTAGCTAAAGGCAATATAGAGATTTGTTAAGAATATAACATAAAAAACTAGCATGACTTGTTTTGAATCCCAGATCCACTACTTGTTAGCGATGTTATCTTAGTCAAAATATTTAAAATACCGGTCTGTAATCTCTTATTTGAAACACTTGGAACTAAGGACATTGTTGTTAAGAAGCACTAATAGTGAAATTTCAACCTAGGTGAATAAGAAAAGCCAGCAAACAGTGGGGTGCTAATTTGTGATAAGTGGAAACCATAAGGCTCCTTACCCACAAGGTCTGTTAGGCTGTCACCTATGTCTATGGTCATCTCTGCCCTTGGAAACAGGGCTCAAGGAGATGCATTACCAATTGTAGAACACCAAGTGTATTACTGTCACCATGCTAAATAGTGCCAATATATTAAAATAAATGAATTAAGTCCGTGCAATCCATTACAAAATGATACTACTTAATTAACTGTAAAACATCACAGCATTTACCAATGGTTATATAACAACAATATGATTTACTAGGTAACATGAGACTCTCCTAAAGCAGCTACCGAGCAGCAGGGAAAGTCTGCGAAGGCTCTGAAAGACTTACTGAGTTTGTGGATAAAAAATCTGCCCTGAGTAAGAATGAATAATACTGCTAATGTTTTCCTTTTACAATATCTTAGTTAGCTATTGAAAATTACTTCCCAAATACTGTAGTTTGTACATGGCTTAGGATAACCTTAAAAGCTAACAACCTATACTCAAGCTTTATGAAATAAATCAAATAAAGGGGCAAAATCTCATAAAATACTAATAAAAAGTAAAATCAGGCTTTTTGTTCATTGCCATTGAGTTGATTCTGACTCATGGCGACTACATGTCTATCATGACAAAACTATGTTTCAGAGGATTTTTCAAGAGTAGTTATCCAATCCCTCCTTCCTCTACTTCAGTGCTGTAAGTAACCATGACCGGTCTCCTAACATGTCTTTCCTCTCTCTTTCACTAAACCTCCATAATACCTGAGTAAGTTCATGCAGAGCTTTTTCTCTCATCCCAATTGCAAATATTTGGCACGGATAGATTAAAATCAATTTTAAAAGCATTTCAAAAAGACCTAATTACATAAAAGTTAAGAAAAACATCTTTATGGATGTAAACCATGTAACAGGGAGTGGTGGGTGAAGCCAAAACCCCCAGGTGCTTGCTATAAGATCAGAAACAAGCTATGTTAGTTGAAAATTAAATTCCGGTATAGGAATCAGAACAGAAAATACTCATGCGAGCCAAGAGACTGAAAACAGTCTTTCCACTTGCAACATGGGGATGAGATAGGATCGACCACAAAAAGATGCTTAAAAATACAATCGCTGTGTGGGACTGCTTGCCAGGGTCTCAAGAAAGAGCAGATTTAACAATATACCAAGATTAAGACCAAGCCAAGGTGGCTAAGGAAGTGGTCTGTAAAAGTCTTGGCAAGATGAGAGGCATAAGCTACTAATATGTTGTTGTTGTTGTGTGCTGTGGAGTCAGTTCTGACTCATAGCGACCCTGTATAGGGTTTCCGAGGCTGTAAATCTTTACGGGAGCAGAAAGCCTCATCTTTTTTCCTGCGAAACAGCTGGTAGTTTCAAACTGCTGACCTTGCGGTTCGCAGCCTGATTCGTAACCACTACGCTACCAGAGCTCCTTTTACCTATCATGTTGTTGTTGTTGTTATGTGCCGTGGACCTAGTTTTGAAATGGGGCTGGGGAGGAAACTGCTAAAATACTATGGAGGAGGGGAAGTATAGAGAGGAAAAAACAAAATAACATACATAATAAATCCAGAATTTAGATGAACTTTCAAGTCAAACTTTCAAATATTTAAAGCAGCAGAGAATAAGAAAATTTTCTTTCAGGAAAACAGAGATGATAGAGCAGTATGAAAAGGACTGTGAAGTTAGTATGTATAACATGCTAAATAGAGAAAGTAGCATCCAGTTTAAAAAGACAACAACAAAAAACCTAATAAGTAAAGAAATCAAAACTGGTAATTAGCAAGGAGCTCTGGTAGTGTAGTGGTTACGAATCGGGCTGTGAACCTCAAGGTCAGCAGTTCCAAACTACCAGCCACTCCGTGGGAGAAAGATAAGGCGTTCTGCTCCTGTAAAGATTTACAGCCTCAGAAACCCTGTGCAGGGTCACTAAGAGTCGCAACTGGTTCCTCGGTACTTAACAACAACAATTAGCAATCAAGTTTAGGACAAAAGAATATGAAAGCAATTTAATTCTGAATCCTGGAAATACACACATAGTTCTGAAAATAAAAATTAGGAAGTACTGAGGGATTCACCCAGAACTTAGCTGAGAACAGACCAAAACGAAACAAAAACAAAACCCCACTGATTATCGAGTCAATTCCAACTCATAGTGACACAACAGGACCGAGTAGGGCTGCCCATTGGGTTTCCAATGCTGTAATATTTACTGTCACATCTATCTCCCGTGGAGTGCCTTTGAACTGCTGACCTCTCTGTGAGATGCTGAGTATTAATCAATGTGCCACCAATATGCCTACTAGAAAATAATGCAGAGATAAAAACATCAAAGAGAAGAATAACTTAAGGAGTTCCATCATAAAACCAAAAGGAGTTCCAGAAATTAGTGAAGTTAAGCAGTGCAGGAAAACAAAGCTTTCAAAGAATTTGTTGTTGTTGTTGAGATTTGAAAGATGTGAGTTATCAGATAAACGCTACACACTAAGAGCTTAAATCATATAAATTAATATAAATCTACACATGTATAAATAGCACAACTACAGAATATCAATCATAAAAATGAAATCTTAAAAGCTATGTGAAAGATTCCTTACATAACTAGCAGCAAATAAAGGAGTAATTGCTTTAAAATGCTGAAAAAGCAACTGACCACAACATTCTATACAAAGCTCAACCATATTTCCAGGCGTAGGGAAAAATAAACACAGTTTTAGAAACTAGGAGTTTTAGATGCATATCCTTGCTGAAAGAACTACCAAATAATACACTTGTACAACAAAGGAAGAAATGAGATAAAGAAAGTAGCAGTGAAAGATATAAACAAAATAATTTAATATATGTAGTTGGCTGAAAAAAAAAACCCTGGTGTTTTAAGTTAAAAAATAAAATTCTAGCATGTTGTTGTTTCTGTGTGCCGATGAGTCAGTTCCTTCACACAGGGACACTGTGGAGGATTTCCGAGAGCAACTGTTGTGTTTGAACTGTCAACTTAGAAAACCAGAATCTCTAGAGCCAGCTCCCACAGATATCAAATCTGAATTACCTACAGTAAGCGCAGGTTTCTAGTTGTTATTTGTTGTTCTTAAGTGCCATTGACTAAGTTGCAACTCATAGCAATCCTGTATGAGGAGCTGTTGCTGGGTTTGGACTTCCAGCCTTTTGATTCAAACTGACCTTGTGGTCCACCGCTTATCCTACAGTGCTTTTGACTCAGGGTGTCAAAGTCTCACAAAGCTGTAGGGGACCAGGACACAGCAGGAATTTACACAATACCATTACCATTCCAAGTTGGCCAGCATGACCATTCTAAGATAGCAACGGAGCACGCTGAAATTATTAAACAAGTATTAAGGCAGTTATGAACAACAGGATCCATGTTTCAGAGGCTATGATGGCCATCAAGACTGTTGTTTTTCTCAGGCAGAGAGAACACTACATCTAAGCATTAATTGAGCACAAGTTCCCATCTAAGAGTCTAAAAAAATAATATTTAATAAACAATCATGATAATCAGTAATTGAGGACTCAATACCACACAGAGATTAGAAGGGGGAAACAGAAACAGATGAAAGATTTCAACAAATTATGGGAAAAAAGAAGAGAAGGAAAAAAAAAACTGTCCAGCAGAACTCCAGAAAGCCTTTATGGCAAAAGACAGGAGATGACAAGCACAACAAAATACTTCTATAAAGAAA